ACCCCCATGGACATTCTGGAAAGAGTCAGCTTTTGTTATTTCTTCAGTCTCCCTTTCTTTAGTTGCCAGTTTCTCTCTGTCTTTTTCTCCATCTTATTGTCCTGGCATTATCTGCTTACTTCTCTGTTTCTTCATACACTGTAGATTCCTCGTGGCCCGGGACCCCAGCCCCTAGCAGGCCCACATTTTTTCGGCATATCTTTATTGAGTGCTAACCCTCTGCAAGCCCCCAGCTGGACTGGAGATGACTGCAGGAGCAGAGTCCTGTGCAGGAGCGGCGTCCTGTGCAACCTACTGTGGCTTACATTCTGGCAGGGAAAACAGATACTAAATAGCCGTGCAGGTACGTTATCTCTCAGCCAACTCTACATTTTTTTCCCAGGTCATATTTAGTATAGTCTATTTGTGATGGAAGGGAAAGAAAAAAAGAGAAATGTGTACCAAACCCTCCCCGATGTAATTAATTATTCTGAGCGGTTAAAGTTTTACAAATCCGTGTGTAACAGTCGCCTCTGCAGACTGACTGCCTGTCTGCTCTGGGTCTCGGGTTTCCCTTGTTTGAGTAGGGTTTCCTCCCGCGGTGGTGGGGGGGTCGACAGATAAGCCCCATCTACTGCCCAGAGCCATTACCTGGCTCCAGCTTCGCGATCCTTCCACCCACCCCAGGAGGAAAGGTCCTAACCCTCCGAGCAGACAGAAGGGCCTTTTATGAAGAGAGATGCCCCTGCCCTGGGGCCTGAGGGGGACTGTCCCATCCTGCATCTCACCTCACAGCCAAGGGGGCCACTGCTGGACCTTGTGGAAGAGAGCATTTCTGTCAAGAACACATCGAAGAAAAGTCTGTTTGGCCATAAGAGTTTTTTTGTTTTGTTTTGTTTTGTTTAGGGCGGGGGAGGAGGGGCTTGCCTTTCGTTTTTTTTGGTTTCAATTTATTCATAAACTATTTCAAATATACCGAAAATAATACAACAGACGCACCCATATGCCCACGTGTAGTTAATCAACTGTGATGGTTAAACAGACGTATTTGGACACCTGCTCAGAACTCCTCCACGCTGGTACACTCTCTTTCTTAAAGAAATAAAATGCTATGAGTACAACTGAAGACTCTCCTCATCCCTCCCCCGCCTTCCGCCTCAGAGGCAGCCTGCGTGGCTCTGTATTTTTTACTGTATTTGTGGCATATACAAACAATATATACCGTTGTTTTGTGTTTTCTAAAGATGCACAAATAGTATTCTGTGCATATCATTTTGCAAAGTGCCTTTTCCACTCCACATTATGTCTTTTGAGATTCATCCATGTTGTTGCACAGAATTTTGCTCATTACTTTAACTGCTATAAAGTCTTCTGTTGTTTGCAGAAACCAGCATATCCATTCTCCTGCTGAGAAACCCTAATAAGCGGTTTCCAGGCTTTTTCTACTGTAAGGCGTGCTTCAGCAAACATCCATACACGTGTCTCCTTAGGTACCCGGTCACGAGTTTCTGGAGGGTGGACTGCCAGATGTGAAATTGCTGTGGGTGCTAACTTTGTGGTAATTTTCAGCAGGTTATAGCCACTCTGCTGCCACTTTCTCCACCACGAACTGGGACCCGATAGAGAAAATGTGAGAACTTAGAGTTTTTAAATGCTAATTCCAGGAACTGCTTCCAATACTCTAAAAGAAAAACCACATGTCCTAATTGATATAGAACTTAGGCCAGTGATATAATGGACACTGTGGAATTTTGGAAACTTCCCCTCCCTAAAGAGGATTGATGTGGACAGCTCAGGACGTCTCTGCCTGCTTTGTGTGCCCCTGAACCCCTCCCCTCAGAATGCCATCCAGAATGTGACCCTTTCTCAACTCAGGCCCCAAACCCACAGGGCTTCCCCTACCCCAGCGCCCCGGCCTCTCAGAGCCCAGAGCTCTTGTGCATCTGGCCGGGGCCCGTCTCCGCAGCTGACCCAGGGCCTTTTCTCATGCCTGTGGATGCCTCCAGCTGGGGACAGGCCTGGCACGAAGCTGAGAAGGAAAGGCGCTTATATTTGAGGCCTGTAGATCTTCTTAGCTTCCCTTTCTTTTTTCTCTCTTTCTTTGCTGGTAGTTTCACTTAATAACATAACTATTGATACATTCCCACATTTAGGAGTACACAATTGGGACCCCATAGGAGAAATCACGTAGCCCTTCGCCTGACACTTGGGGCAGCTCGACAACTGTTTTTTAAGTTCAGTCTGAAAGTCAAGACCTCCAGGTCTCATGGCAAAGGCGTAAGGCAGAAGACAAGTCTTACTTGGGGGAAATTCCTGGTCCTCTAAGCCAGCACTGTGGAGGACTGGAAGAACGTGGTTTGCTGTGTAAATTTGCACCATGGCAGCTCTTGGCGTGGCCCCAAAATGTGCCTCCTGGCAGCAGCCTTCAGTTCTGCTTTAGTTTCTTCCTAGAGTACGTGCCTGGACTGGCAGCGTGGGGCATCTGGAGATTCAGCTCCAGGTTCCTTGCATGGGCTCAGCCAACCCCAGAAAGCTAAGGAGCAGCTGTGCCAGGAGTGCCAAATACCCAGGAAACAGGGCAGGGCACGCTGGCGCCAGGGGGCCTTTCCCTGGATTTTCAGGAGGGCTCGGCCCAGAGGCCCAGAAGTTGAAGAGAACACGGCTAGAAGCCACATCTTGGTGATCAACGGTGATTTGGAGAGTTCTGCAAAGAAAGGCAGTCATGAGAAGTAAGGCACGAGAGTCCCGGCTCTAGAGTCAGCCACACTCGGAGTCCACTTCCAGAGCCACCGTGCACTCGCTGTCTGGCTCTGAGGGCACGGCCTGACTTCTCTGGGTGTCCACACCTTCACCGTCGACTTGGGTGTGTGCAGCGCCCGATGCCAAGAAGGCCCCCACATGCTTTCTCCCCAACTGACACTCTGCCGTGGACTCGAGTGTGTGAACACAACAAAGAGGCCGTGGTCCCCTGAAGGGAGGGGAAATTTCTCCTCTCCCCTCTCAGGGCCTCTGGCTGGGCCTACGAGTTAAACTGACATGAGACAGATTAACGGGAGAAAAGCACGCCCACTCTATTAAAACTCTACATGTCCACGGGGGCCTTCACAAGAAAATGAAGACCTGAGCAACTGACCAGAGCAGAAAGCTTATATATCTTTTAGACAAAGAAATGATAAATTTGCAAAGAAGTGACAGGCCAAGGGGGTTTGGGTGACGGACAGCAAATTGTGGGGAAGTGACTGGAGATGTATGAGGGGAAACTAGTGGAAGATAAGAGTTAATTTAGTAGGTTGGTTTGTACAGCTCCCTTCTGGCACTGACTCCCGGTCTCTGGTGACAGGCGCGTTCTTCTCCTCCTGGTATGGAGAGGGCATCTCTCTCATGGGAAATTTTGCAGCCTGTTTTTAGGTAGAAAAGGCCAGAGAGCCCTTCCTGCATCAGTTGTTCCTCAAACGCCTTCAGCTCGAAACAATCAACATGCCAAAGCCGCATATTTTGCAGTGGCATGTCCTGAACTTCTTCCCCAGACACATGTTTTCCAGACACAGACATCACTCATCTCCTCCTCCCAAGTAGCCTCCAACACCTCCTGCCAGGTTAGCAGCCGAGAAGTTTGGCAGTGACGGGTGAAGGCTATGGAGCCAGAGTCCTGGGCTCAAATTTCAGTTCAACCACTTACCAGCTATGTGCCCCTAGCAAAGTTTTCTTATTTGTAAAATGGAAATAAAAGTTGTAGTACTGACCTCGGAGGTTGTTGGAGAATTAAATGAGTTAATACCCGTTCCTGGTCCATAGTGAGCGCTCAGTAATGGTACTGCTATATTGAAACTTCAGTAGCTATTGTTATAACGGTTAGCCCATCCATTTTTCAGGGACCAAGTGTGTATTAGGGCTGCGGCCCTGGTGACACAAAGGTGAGCAAGGCAGTCCCTGCCTCACAGGAGCTCCTGTCTCTGGCAGAAATGGGTCGGTGAGCAGACAGACCCTGGCAAGTCATGGCTGGGATGGAGAAGCACGTGGTGTTGGGGGAACCTCGAAAGAGATGAGGAGGAGCGGGCACTGGTCAGCAGAGACTCTGAGTCATGAATGACCGGGAGGAGTTAGCCAGGCCAAGGGGAGGAAAGACGCTGTCCAGACAGGAGGAGTACTAGGAGGAAATACGAGGAGGTTTGACAAATGAAACACCCATTTTTTCAAAAAATATGTGAGTGCTCCCTGTTGTAGGCACGCACGTATTTTAAAAATTATTCAAAAATAGTGAGCACCTCCTGTTCTAGGCATTGGGGGAGACTGCTGGGAGTAAGACAAAGTTCTGCTGTCCTTGGGACAGCTAACACTTGTATCCCACTGACCACGTGCGCCACGCTGCCCTGCACGTCACATGCTTGTTAACGACGAGGTCCGCTTACCGCTACAACCTCCATCTTACATTTGCGCTAACTGGAGTGCAGGCAAATCTGGAAACTTAGCCAGATTGGTAAGAGCCTAAGGAGCAGAGCTGGAATTGCACCGGGCGGTCTGGCTGCGGACGTCTGGTCTTAACCACTGTGCTGTGCCGCCCTCAAGGAGCTTGCTGACATTCTCAGGACCTGTTCCCGGAGCTACAAGTGGGTTTTCTTGGCGGAGCACGGCGTCAATCGTGGCAGGCAGATTAAGGCCAGCCTGTGATGAACCTTGAACGCCAGGCTGAGGGGCTGAGATTTTATCCCGCAGGCTGGGCAAGGTGGGACGCAGGAAGAACTACCCTCCCCCTGCCTCCCAGAAGCGGATGCACCAAACCAGGCCGGAGATGACAATACACTGGGATGCCGCAGGGCAGTGGGATGCAGGGAGGGGGACGGCTTCCTGTTGAGTCGACCGAGAAGGCAGAGGAGGCAGGCCCGGGGCGTGAGGTCGCCGGCGCCCGGCCGGCCAATAGCGGCGGGCTGGGCCGCGGCCCCTCCCGCGGGGCGGGGGCCTGGCGGGCGGGGCGCGCGCTGCCGGCTCGCTCGGGTACCAGCGCTGCCGCATCCCCGCCGCGCTCCCCGCACCCGGCCCGCCCACCGCGCCGCTCCGGCTCGCGCAGCCCTACGGCGGCCTCCCGGCGAGGCCTGGCAGGTCCAGCTCGGAACGCAGCTCGGTCCAGTCGGGGTGGGTGAGGGGCGGCGGCGGGGATGGGGGATGGCTCAACTCGGTCTCGCCCGGGTGGTTGAGGGGCCAAGAGCTGGACTTGGTTTCGCCCCCGAGCGAAGGGTGCGGACCTGCTCTCTGACCACCCCAGAAGGGGACTGGGGTAGGGTTGGGGTAGGAGTGCTGCGTTCTAACCTGGTCCGGGAGGACTCAGGGCTGGAAGCCGGGAGGGAGCTGGGGTGAGCTGAGCTGGGGGCAGTTAGCGTGGAGAGCCCAGGTTCCGATGCTCGGGGGAGGGAGCCATCACTGGAGGCGGGGGTAGAGCTCAGCCTGTGTACTAGGATGGGGGTAGGGGTACCGCGGGGATCGGGGCGCTGGGGCGCGGGCTGGAGCGGGTGGGAGGCTTCCCTGTGCCCTGCAGCTGCGTCCGGAGGGGACTTGGTTTCGTCCCATCTGGGGGTGGGTGCGGGGAAGAGGGACGCGGGGGGCGGGCGGGGCTCCGAGTGCCCGGGGCAGCGGGGCGGGGCGGGGCGGGGCGGTGGGGCAGGCGAGGGGGTGGTCGGCGGCCTCTGATCGCGTTCTGGGACACACGCAGGCGGCGGCGGCGGCGGGCGCAGAGCGGAGATGCGGCGGCTCGGGGGCACCCTGCTGTGCCTGCTGCTGGCGGTGGCCGTCCCCACGGCCCCCGCGCCGGCTTCCACAGCGACCTCGGCCCCCGTCGAGCCCGGCCCGGCTCTCAGCTACCCGCAGGAGGAGGCCACCCTCAACGAGATGTTCCGCGAGGTTGAGGAACTGATGGAGGACACGCAGCACAAACTGCGCAGCGCGGTGGAGGAGGTGGGTGCGTGCGGAGGGCCGGGGCCGCGGCAGCTGGGGGAAGCAGCGCTCCGAGCGCTGGCCAGCGTCCTCGTCCCCTCGAAGGGGCTGGGAACGGCCGGCAGCAGATTCGGAGTAATCAAGAGACAGCGCAGGGTGATCCCAACTCCCACCTCTTTCTGCCTTCCTGCCAAAAAGATCTGGCTCTGAGTCTGTCCACCTAGAACCTCTGGCTGGACCCACCCAGCGGCAGCCAGGCCGCCACCTGCTTGCAGGCTCGCGGCCACCACCCTGCAATTGTCTGCAAGTGTGCAGTTGTCCCCGCCCACTGTGTAAGCGGACGCTTGCAAGGCCCCTGGTTTTCCAGCGCTGCGGTTTTGCAGAGAGGGTGAGGAAGCTCCGGGCATCTCAAGTTCTAGCCTGTCGCTTGGGCTTTGAGCTTGTACCATCTTCCCAAGACACAGGATGCCGTGTGGGGACAGAGCCCTGAGCTTTGCTAGTGATCTGTCTGGGCTTCCCCAAATGCATAGAGGGGAGGAAGGAAAATTGGAATCCTATATCCCGGTGGGGTACATCGACAGAGGGCGTCAGAGAGAGGAGGGGCAATGCGAAAGACATCGCACCTCCCCTGAAGGGTGCTTTGGAGTCAGTCTTGGGCTCAAGGTCCTCCTCTGCCACTCACTAGCAGGCTGACATTGGGCAAATCCCATCACATCCCGTACCTCAGTTTCTTGTGAGAATTGAATGCCGTGATATGTGTGGGCACCTGGCATATAATAAGTGGGCAATAGATAGCAGCTGTTAGTGTCAGATACCAGATACCTTAGCAAAACTTTGTCTGGCTTCTTCCTTCCATCACCTCCCATGTCCAAACACTGTGGATGGCATCCTCTGTGGTAGGCACCTGAGGATTGCCAGGGCTGCCTGGGCAGGAGGTGCAGCTGGCCCAGCTGGCCCAGCCCGGGTGTGGGGAGCTGTCCCTGGTGCCTGGGGTCGGTGGGCATGGTCACTGTTGGACCTGGCTCTAGCTGCAGCCTGTCTTTGGAGAGAAGCCAGCCATCCCAATGAAGGAGTCAGCCAGGGACCAGATGTCCAGGCTGGAGGGTCAGGTGTCTCTGCATCCCTGTTTCTCCACATTCCATTTGGGCAAAGCCTTAAGTGCTAGCTCTGGTCGACCCGAAGAGGTTGCTTTCTGCCCCCATCTCTGAGTAGTTTGGGAATATTTCCCCTTCCTTCCCACAACAGTCAACCTGATGGAGTGTGCCATGAAGGGGACTCTGGATTGGGGGCAGCTGCTTGGGCAGCTGTACCTGAATATCCACTGGACAGGCCACATTCCAAAACCCATGGACGTTCTGTTTCCTGTGGAAGCAAGAACGTGGAACAAGACATGGAACAATTAAAGCGCGAGGGGAGTCACACCTGCTCCAATGTCTCTTAACTCTGCACCTTCCAACTAAATTGAGCCTTTACGTTCCAGGGTAGGTCATCTGCTTTCCTCGTCTGGGCTGCAGGACTTTCCCTCCTGCACACAGATTCCCGATGAGACTGACTAGCTCACCTCTGTATTTTTGTTCAGTGTATAAAGGACCATGCGGCATGGTCCTCTGACAGTAGCTCCTGGTGAGGGAGAGCAGCAGGGACTGCTTCAGTCTCTTCATTGAGCAGAGCATCTGGGGGTCCAGTGGGACCTTAGTGGCAGTGTCCACTCCTTGGGAGTTGTCCACATTGGCTCTACCAGGGCCCTGGCCTTCCCCCCTCAGACGTGGCTCTGCTTGAGTTGTGCACATGGACTGGTTGGCCAGATGGACTGGTTGAAGTTTGCCACCAGGGGACACCTTGGCTGCTACCTCTGCCCCACTTGTGGTCATGTCCCGAAGAGAGTCCTTGCTGCCGTGGGCACAGGTTGAGAGAGGCTGAACACCTGTGTGGCAGGAGAACAGGCCGTGGGGACCGACCTGCCTTCATGCGATCCCAGCTCTGCTACGTACTAGGCACCCATGGGATTTAGCTGTGAAATGGAGGAAATGTCCACCCCGCAGGGTAAACGGAAGGATTAAATGAGGATGGATGCAAGGAAAGCAGGTTATCGGGCCATCTAATACAGGGTGAAGTAAAATCGGTGTGATATGAGCAGCTGCCTCAAGAGATTGTTACAGGGGATACAGGAGATTGCTGGTTCTCAATAAATAGTGGCTATCATTATCATCATATTAATAGTACTAGTATGAATGATAACAAAGAGCCATGGGTATCCGATATGTAATAGATTCTCAATAGACTGTGGCTATTAGTATTAATTTATTTTTTATTTTCCCTTCTCCCCAAAGGCCCCGGTACATAGTTGTGTATTCTAGTTGTGAGTCCTTCTAGTTGTGGCATGTGGGACGCCGCCTCAGCATGGCTTGATGAGCGGTGCCATGTCTGCGCCCAGGGTCTGAACCAGCAAAACCCTGGGCCGCTGAAGCGGAGCGTGTGAACTCAACCATTCGCCCCTGGGGCCCGCCCAGTATTAATTTTTTTAAAAGAGACTGCCAGAAAGTCCCTTAAATCTCATAAACACAGGATAGTTGCTATTTACTTGCTGGCTGGGTAAGAACCAAAAAGGACCAGACCAGATGCATTAATTGTTTACATAGTTGCGTCATGAATCTGCTTTCATGTAACTTCCTGACATTTTAAATATTCCAGCTGACTCGAGCTGTTGATTTCTCTTAAGGGGAAAGATGAAGTTAACTCTACTTCAAATGTTCAGATGGTTCCATCCAGCTGTTCCTATTTTCCTGTCTTATTATTTTATATGTTACTGATAAATGTGTTTTGAGGATAAAACCACTGCCTCCCCCCCGGCTCGTTGCCATGTCTGGAGTAACTGGCCTTTTTAGAATGTTTTTATCACCTCCCCTATTCCTAGGAAGAACCCCAATACAAGCCTGGCTTTATCTCTCCGGTTTTTCCTACTATGCCCCTTTAACAGACACACAGATTCAACCAACTAAAAATGCCATTTTTAATAACATTCACATTCCTCCTCTATGAGACAAGTCCTATTGCTTCAGGCTTAAATTTCTCTTGCTAGTGGCAGTAATAGTTGTGGTTGAAATTTCCGCTGTAAACTGTAGTTTGAGTTCATAGTACCATTAAAGAGCTGTTAGGTCATTCGGTTGATACAGCCACTGGTTGAAAGGGAGGAGGTTTTAGAAAGAGACTATCTGCTCAGCCCAAATCAAACTCTAGATTTGGTAACTTGTCAATTATTTGAAAGCCAAACTGGAGGATTCAGAGTCCAATGGGAATTTTAAAGACACGAAAACATTCCCCTCTCCTTCTGGATAGAGCCTCTGTAGCGTGTCCAGTCTCCTATTCTTGTCCAGCTGTATCTCTTCCATCACTAAACAACATGCCAGGATCTCTCGCTTACAAAAAAATTTTAAGTCCTTTTCTTGCCCATCCCGTCTCCCATCTTAACGCCATTCCATTTCTTCTCGTTTCGTTAGCAGATTCTTCAAACACATGATACCTACTGTGTGCTCTTTCCACTTCTCCCCAGTCATTCACTGGCAAGCTAGCTTTCTCCAAACCTTCTTTCTTAAAGGACAGTAGTGTGAAAGTGGCAGTTTGTGACGCCTTTGCTGGGTGGCAGCTACTGTGCAAGCACTTGGATTTTGTGATCCTTAATTCTTACATCTGCTCGGCAAAGTAAGATCATCCTGATTTTACAAACAAGAAAGCTGAAGTTGAGAGACATGTGGTGTCTTGCCCAGTCACACGGCTGCTGCTCAGTGGCAGAATCGGGAGTGGCCCCACCTCATCTGACCCTGGAACCCCGGGACCTGCTCCCGTGCTGCCCTCTGATGCCGGGGGCACCTTCTTGCCTAACCCACTGGCTCGGTCCTTTTAGACTTATTTGGAGGCCCCTCCCCAGATATCACTTCCTACCCCCACACCCGATTCTAGCCCATCCCCGGACTCCCCTCTCTTCCTTCTCTAGACTCTATATTGTTTCCCAACTAGGCTTCAGAACTTGCTGCAACCCCCCATTGCCTGGAGCCGAGGTCCTTTCCTGGGGGCAAGTGATATCTCATTGATATCTGAGGTTCAACCCCCAGAAATTCTAATGTGGCGTGTCTGGGAAAGGATCGAGGTGTACATATATTTTTAAAGTTTTGGGCGTGACTTTGATGTACTCTCCTGGTTGAGAACTAGGCCAACACCCTCTGCTTTAGATCCGCCGCTGCATCTGCCTGTCGATCCCTCTCTCCATCATCTTCCACCATTTTCTCCTGTGCCCAGCCTGGACCCTCTGCACTAGCCTGCAACACACACCCTTCTAGTCCAGGCTGCACAGCTTTGTGTCCCCTATGCTCCTCTCTGTCGAGATCCTATCCGTCCCTTGAGACCAGCCCAGTCGTGCCTTCTCCTCTTTCTGGAAGCCTTTCTTCTCTCTTCTTTGAACCCCTGACTTGCTTCCTGAGACCATCATAATCATCCTCAAACTGGTTTGCGTGGGGCTCTCCTGTCTCCCCAGTGAAAGCATAATCTTCTGGGAGGACGGAATCGTGTACAGGGAAGGGCACGTAATTTGGAGTCAGGCTGACCTGAGTTCTAATCTGAGCTTTGCCGCTTTCTAAGAAGGTGATGACCTTAGGCAGATCCCTCTGCCTCTCTCAACTTTGTTTTCTTCATCTGCAAAATGAGGGTAATAGCACCTTCCCCACAGGGTGGCTATGAATATTCAAGGAGATGTGGGAGGTGTCTAGTGCAATGGCTCAGACATAGCCGATACCCAAACATGGAGGCTACTGTGGTGATGATGATGATGGTGGTGGTGATGATGATGAAGCTAGTGATCAAGTTCCAAGCATCTCAGCAATCGTCTCAGTCACTGACCAAGTCCTTATTTGATCATTCGAGCCTTTGTGCTTATCACACTTTCTTCACTCTTCTAGTTCAGTGTTTTTGTGCTGCATTGGGACATGGGACTTCTTTCCCCATAGCCACCCAGCTCAGCCAGTCTGGTTGGGAGAAGTGGAAAAAGAGGGGCCTCATCTAGTACATAAGGGGATAGAGGACAGTGATTTTTTTTTTAAATAGAAAAATGAGGATTAGTTTTAAGAAATAAAAATAGCCCAGAGTCAAAGATAGCACTGTTGGGAAATTGCCAACCCCCAATTAGAATTTCTCTTGGTATCTCTCATTTTAAATTCCTAGAGAGAGTATGTGATTGGCTCAACTACTCCATGACGTGGCCTTTCTTTGAGTCCATTCAAGTGTGAAGGGATCATTTGTCAACTGCCTGCCCATCAGGGCTGGGGTGGGACAAAACATCTGGGAGAGGAGATGGGTGCAGACGTGAGTTGACTGACGTCTGGTATAGATGTCATGAAGGCTCATGAGACTGGAGGACTTGAGGACAGCAGCCTCAGAAACCTGACACCAGCGAAGGACATGGGTCAAGACGAGTCAGAAGGAGGGTAGACCCCAAGAACTAGTCAGCTGACCCTCTACAAGGGTCCCTCTTGTGCATAAGAGGTGGGATGGGGAAGGAGATGGAGCAGTGGCCCTACCTGCAGGGGTAGGGCACTGCCTTAGTTTGGGTCCCCCTCTACTGCCACCAGACCTGGCAGCGAGAGTTTGGGAACAAAGAGTTTATTTGGGAAGTGATCCCAGAAACACTAGGAGAAAGAGGGAAAGTGAGAAGGAAGAGGGGAAAGGCAATAAAGGCTGTGCTCATGAGCACATAGCTGCCAGGTCAACTGGGACTCAATCCCGCGGGGTCCTCGGGGAGATGGTCCATTGAGCGGGGAGAGAGCTGGGGTACTCACCCCCACAGCCTGTCCCTCACTGGATGAGGATTGTTCCTGGGGTGTTAACTCCCTAGCACCTGGGGCCTGTGCAGACTGAGCACGCTTTTGGTGCCAGAGAATGCCCTCAAAGAGAGACAGAGTTGGTTGCTGGCGTGTAAGGAAATCGAATGCAGGTGACCCCGGTTCAGGCCACAAGGAGATGGCCGGGGCACCAATAGCATTTGTACAGGGGCCAAGAGTATTTGATGAGGACATGCTCAGACCCCAACTGTACTCTTCACTGAGAGTCTTGGGAAGTTCTCTAGTCTCCCTGAGCCTCAGTTTCCCCATTTATAAAATGAGGACATGAACACCTGCCTCACAGGGAGTTTGTGAGATTTAAGGCCGTAATATATGTGAAACATTAGCACAATGGCTTGTCCTAGTAGGTACCTGTCATTACCACCATTATTTGTAATTTCAGAAGAGCAAAAGGGAGGTAGTTCTTTTTTTCTAACGGACTCTGATTTGTATCAAGAGAAAACCATTTTGCTCATTAAATTCCTTGATTTAATAGATGGAGGCAGAAGAAGCTGCTGCTAAAACATCATCAGAAGTGAACCTGGCAAACTTACCCCCCAGCTATCACAATGAGACCAACACAGAAACCAAGGTTGGAAATAACACCATCCATGTGCACCGAGAAATTCACAAGGTAAGGGGGTCCCGGCCAGCACTTCCTCCTTTCCGTAGTGCCCAGTCCGGTCAGAGAGCTAAGGTCTTGTTTACATGTTTGAGACACAAGCCCAAAATATGAATGAGGATGTAAAATATAGATTAAAAACCAGAGGGAGTGAGGGAGTATTTAAAGGAGAGAGATATGCATCAAAACCCGAAATTGCTTTTGCATTTAAGCAATAAATTGAACTCTAGGCTTCCTGCCAGTCCAGTTGCAAAGGAATGTTCAGCAGTCTTTATCATTTGAAAAAAAGGAAGCCAACAAATGTCTAGAGAGATGCTTTCCTAGTATCGACTGTGAGGAATTGGTCTCCCAGGTTTTTATGTTTGTTTCAGTAGAATTGAAATAGAGTCCACATTGTGACAAGGAGATCATCACCGTTTCCTTAAGAGGAACTCAGATGCCATATACTCCATCTTCAGAAGGGGCAGGCTCCACTGCCACAAGATTAAGCGTTCGTTCGTTTGCTGGATAGTCATTCAAAATTCTCTAGCAGAGTTTTTCCCAACCTACCACATGTCTGAGTGTCTCTGGGTCTAATATCTTGCATGAGGAGCCAGCAGATTCATTCCCAGTCGGGCTTGAAGAAGAAAACACTGCAAACGTGGAGGCACACAGCGTTAGCCTGCCCCTGGGGTGACAGGTGCCCAGCGTGGTTTTGAGAGCGAACCACGCGCACCTGTGCTCTCCTGGGGAGAGTCCGCTGTGCAGATGTTCGGTCATGTTAGGGGCTGGGGACTCCGTTGTGAACATAAAGGAGCTTGATCTCTAATCTCATCTTGGCTCCCATGGGCCGGGCCACAGTGGTCTCACGAAAGAGCCTCACTCTGTTCAAGCGCCCAGGTAATGGCTTGGTTGAGACAATAGTGTTTCTGTGCCATAGAGTTGTAAAGGGGTCGATTTTTATGAGCCATTGCCTTGACTATAAAGTAGCCTTTGTGTGGCTCTTCTCTCACGGCGTACAGATGGGCCCAGCTTCAGAGGGCAGCCCCCACTCCCTGACAGATGAATGAGTCACCTGCTGCACAGAACCCTTCCGAATTGCTCATCTGAAGACCGGAGAATGTTTCCAAAAGTGATTATTTTATTCTTGTCAAAACCAGTATCAAGCCATCCTTTCTGACAATGATTAGTCAACGAGCTTGGCTGTTTCTTAAAGTTGCTCCTTGTAGATGTCAGAATACCCAAATGTGAGTCCTACTCATAACTTAGTGTGATTTTGAAAAATTACTTAGATTGCATGACCCTCACTAACCATCTGTATGAAATAGGGATAGCACTATCCACATTACATCGCTGTGAGGGCCAAATGACCTTAAATGTGTGAGAACTCATTGTACACTATAAAGTGCTATGCAAAAGCTAGTTGTGCCTATTGTTACTGTTGTTATTATAGCAAAGTTATGTTATCAACACAGTGCCGTAGTTCCCAAGTGGGTCCACGGAGCACCTGTCTTGTGCAAAGCTTCATGAAAGGGGGCTTAGTAGTGGCGAAACGTATTTGGAAAGTATTGTATGTATTTCTCCTTCTAGATACACAAAAACACACATTAGTATAATAAAGGCACTGAGAAGTCCTGCAACCTATATGTACAGGGCCATAGAATTTTTTAAAATACAACATTGGTTAATCTTGTAAAAATCTGGCATAGAGGAAGAAGACATCATCTTTTTGCTGGGGAGAGGAATTATTTAGATAAAAATTTTAAAGTATGTTGACAGACATGATCCTGACTTCCTCAGAACTGGAATTTGATCCACCACTGCAAATTAAGCTAAGCGTTTCCACTTTGTTCTGGCTGCAGGCGCCTGTAATGTTAGACCTGGCAGGAGCTTTAAAGATGACCTAGAAATGAGAAAATTGTGAATCAGAGAAGAGAAATGACTTGTTCCAGGGTGCATACTGAATGCTTGTTGGCAGCTGAGCCAAGGCTCACAGAACACAGATCCCCCAGCTCATGGGGCCGGCGTCCTTTCTGTTCTTTATCACCAACCCAAACATTAGACATGGCCTTGGGTGGGGCAGGAATGGCCTGGGTTCTGTGTCAGGATTCTAAGACTCAGCTTTGAGGTGCCTGTTCCTGGTTACAGAATCAGAGGCAGACGACAAAGAGAGGAATATTGGGCCAAGTAAACACTTTACTGAGGAGAGAAAACAGTTCGCCAGAATGAGGAGGGGGGCAGAGGTGGCTCCAAGCTGCTTGTTCCTCATGGAAGATGTTGGATTAGACACCCACACCTGCAGTTGTTGAAAAGAAAGTTGACATTGAGTTTCCAGTGCCAAGCCCGATAAAAATAGCGGATGTTGAATATTTTCTGGGCGATGGGCTGTGTGCTGAGTGCTTCACACGGGCCACCCTGCGCTCGCATAGCAACGCCATGAGGTCGCCTCATTACATCTCTTATCGCTGCTCGAGGGGAAGCTGTCTGACGGCTGCTGGTGGAGCTCAGACAGAACGAGAGGGGGAGGGGCACTCCGTCTACGGCGGCAGATGCTCCTGCTTCGCAAAATGGGAAAACAACAAAACTTCTATGTCACATTCACTGTCCCTGCTCTCCTGTAGGTCACCAACAACCAGACTGGACAGACGGTCTTTTCCGAGACAGTCATCACCTCTCTGGGAGACGAGGAAGGCAAAAGGACCCATGTGAGTTATCTTCCCGGTGCTTACCCCCCAAGGCACACACAGCCTTGTTTGGCCTGCCTGGGGTGATCCAGATCTTAGCCCGTGGGCAGGAAGGAGCTACCTCGGCACCTCCCCTGCCCTGTGCCTGCCAAGATCCCCAATTCCTACTAGACCGATGTAATCTGTAACGGGCTCTGCCTACACGCATTTTGTATCCGAAACGACAGAGAAATTAATTCAGCTGTCATTTGCATGGCTTCAGCACAGCCTTGAGAGGGGAACAAGGGAGTACCAGGTACACTGATTAGGGACCCTGGTAACAAAACCCGGTGCATCCGACTGTGGAATCCCCTACAGCCTCGGGCCTGGCCCACGCCTCTTATGATCCCAGCCCTGGTCAGGCAGATTGCGAGCAAACCAACCTTAAGTGGAACCCAGTGGCCTAAAGGGAAAATGCTGTCCTGCTCCAGGCTTTGCGCCCTGGCCCCCTCGTGATTGCACCTGCCCCTCTGTCGCCTAGTCCAAAGGTGGGGTTGTTTTTGTAGAATTATAGAGTCCTAGAATTGGAAGGGGCATCATTTCACAGAGGGAAGACCCAGGCACAGGTCAGGGGATGACCCAGTTGGAGTCACTGGTGTCCAGACTCCCAGGCCAGAGGTGACTCAGCTGCACTTTATCTTCTCAAAGAGGTGGCTGGCCTCAGATGCAGATGCCTGGTGAGGAGTGGGCCAGGGCACTGCCGCACGACATGGTCGGCAGCAAAGATGTACCTCCTCTGTGGGGACTGTAGCACCAGCCTCTCTGTACCCAGGCGCCTATGCAAGCTTCCGGCTGTGAGCTCCTCCTCTCTGAGGTGCAGAATGCGTCCCTGCATCCCTGGCCTTCTGAGCGGATTCAGGATTCTTCCTCACCTCTTTGGCCTTACCTCGGGAAGAGAACCAGAATAGTCAGGGAGGTGGTGCGGACGTGGTTGGTGAGAGACTACTCAGGATGCCAAGAGCATGCCTGGCTCACGGAGCCCCTGCCTGCACGTGTGGACTGCAGCCAGTGGGTCCATTCTCCAGCTTTCCCAAGTGTGCGTGGCCTTTGTGCCTATGTGTGTCCATGCTTCAGACTCTGCTAAGGGCCCAGCATCCCCACCCCTGCCCACTCAGTCTCACATGTCCATCATATGATGGACATACATTCAGCATCCTTGTGCAGTGCCGAATCTGCACTCCTGTGTACGATGGTCATGAGGATGCAGGAGGTTGACAGGGAGAGACAGATCCAAGAAACCCAGAAGGTAGACCCACTAAGTTTTTCTTGATTTGTGCTCAGGCTCTTGGGATATTAACTCATTGAGTTTCTCTGTGAGAATAAATTCCAGTTTGATTGGCTGGAAGGGAGATGTGGGGCATCTGATGCTTGACTGGCCAGTGTCTGGCCAATCCTGTGAGTCTTTAGAGAACAGACTGGAGACCTTTCAAGCCACCTTGAAAGGGATATCACATGGTAGAAATGGCGGCGTGTGTACCTTGCGACAGAGCCTCGCTCGTTGGCAGTGTGGCTTGCCAAGAGTCAGAGAAGAGAAATCCAGTTTCAAGTGCCCACAGAATTCTTCCATTCACCTCCCCTTTGGTTCCTGGGCCACCATCGTCCCAACACAATTGAGCTGGGGCTCAAGTATCATCTTTACAGAGAGACTGGGCTCCTTTTACTGGGTAGGAAACTGGAAAGACTAGATTGCCTTCAAAGGCATGCAAAGGGTGGAACATTGTCACCACTGCCCCATTCTGTAGTTTTGTAATTTAATGATTTTTACAGTTGGCTCTGAAATGTATAACACGCTGAAGAAACTTTCTCTTAAATAGAAAAGGGGGATTTGCCATTCAAAAGGACAAAATCATATACTCTTCAAACCTTAAAATACTGTAAAAAGGGGCTAAATTTTCAGGATTTAAAATTCCCAGATGAATTCAATTGAAAATAATCACGAAGCACCCCGTATTTTCCTTTCTTCAAATGCTGGTATGTGTATTAATATGTATGGTAACGCCAGGAGGTTCGTGGAAAGTTACAGACAGTAACATTATATGCCCGCCTAGAAAACTGAGCGGGGTATGTGCAAGGTCTCGGTCTGTTTTTACATTCAGATGGGGAAGGGGAGAAGGACATGGCGGCTTGTTATTGCACCTGAGTGCGCCGGCGATGGTGATGGGGTCTGACGTCTTTCTGTGGGGCTTTTGTGCTGAGCCCTCGCCTGTCTCCCTTCACGGGCCAGTGGGTGGGCTGACTGATGTTGTGCTCCTTCTGTGCAGGGGGTTAGGAGGAAAGTGGCATGTTGGAAGCTGGAGAGTGGACAAGCCATTATGCATAAAGCGGATGCTTTTATTTATAGCGCTGTGTCCACAAATATGAAGAATCTGACCCAGTTAGCCAAGGCACCATTCTAAGGGACATCTAATTAAAATAGAGCTCACAGCTACCAAGCTCGGCACGCCATGCATTTGTTGTCTTTTCTGTTTTCACATTAGAATATGATATAAATGAGAAGGTCCCTTGGTTTTTCCAGCTGAATATACCTAGTTTGAACCTACAGGTTCAGTCACATACAACCAACTTGACCAAGGTATTGCCAAGACTTCTGAGGCCACAGGTAAACAAATTTCACAGCTATCATCCAGGTAGTAGCCATTCGAGTGACCCAGCGATTTCCTTGACCTAGAGAATGATGTGTGCAGCTGGACACCGCAGACTGTGGACAGTGACGATGGCATTCTCAAGTGTGAACCAAATGTCTTCTCTGTTGTGAGGATGCTTTGTCTGGTATTTGTGTTGAAGCCTGGGGGAAGTGGGAAGGTAAACTGGCTGAACTTTCGAAGATTAGCGTTTGTTTGTTTCCCACTAAACAGTACGCCTCCTGTCACCTCACAGCCCAGAGCTAGCCACCGAGAGTGAGGGAGGAGAAAGGGGTTGAAGGACCTCCTTCTCCATTAGGCCTCGGTGCTTCCTTGCCTCCAACTTGTCCATTCATCACTGAGTACCCTCAGCTGGGGTGCTGGCCTCGTGTGCTCCCTATGCCCTGATTTCTGATGCTGGAATCGCTCTTAGCAATTTAATGGAATTGCAGAGAACGCTATGATGTCAAGTCATTGGGGGGTTATTTTAACAGAAATGCACTAGGGGAGGGCATGGGCCCCTTAGAGAAACTCAGTTAGTTCCCAAAGGCCCTGCCTCCTGGAGTCCCGCTGGGTGCAGGGAGGCAGGGCTGGTCTCGTCCCAGGAAACGCAGCCCTTCCCTGGCTGAGTGAGGTTGTCCGACCTGGTCCGAGGCCGACCTGGCCTCGCACCCTGCGCTGGCTCTTAGAAGCTCTGCCTTCTATGATTTGGTTTCTTCATTTATCAAATGGGGTTAATAATCCCCGGTTCCCAAAATTGGGTGAGAATCTAATAAGGCAAAGTTTATAAGAGCTCTTTGTGTAAGGCTCATTATTATTGAAAAGTAATTAAAGCTGGATTCTCATTGGCTTCTTCCCAGTTCCCAGGCAACCTGCTGCACAAAGGCTGGAATGTGCCTGGAAGCTGGGATGTGTTTAGGGCTCCACAGGAGTCTTCTGTGCTGTTTGTAGCCTTGGGCTGAGTTCTGCAGAGCCCTGCCTCCCCTCTGAGTAGTGCATTTCATCGGGAGCTCTGTGCTCTGGCCACAAGGTTGACTCACCCTGCTGGTCTTGTCCTGGCCACGTGGGGTTTGGGTGTTGGGGATACAAGCAGAAGGGAGGATGGGCCGTAATGAACAATGAGAAGCACAGGTGACGGTCAGGTGCTGCAAGTTCCAGGACGGGGCCCAGGTTGGCAGGATGTATACTGGTTTCTACAGAAAGCAGCAGACTTGTGGTTCTCAGAGTGATGACGGAGTCTTGTGGGAATATACAGTTCCACAGTCCTAAAACCAGACATTTGGGTACATTTGGGTTTCTAGATTTATATTTTGAGTTGATTTTGTGATTTCTGGCCAAGTATAAGGCTTGCATGCTTTAATCCAGTGGGAGTAATTATAGGGAAGATGGGAGAGCCCTGAATCATCGTGAGAAATGGATAAACAGTCCTCAAATAAGTAAAGTTGATGTGGGTGAGCAATTTTTAAGGAGTAGGCATTTCCTTTTGAGCTATAACCTGGCTGTATTAAATTGTACTCTCCTCAATTTAAATATCCTTCAAGAAGGAATCCATTAAAGATACATGATTCCAGATCCCAAATCAAAGTGCTATGAAGTTAATAAATGAGTTTCATATAGGTTTCCTATAAGTTGATATAAAAGAATGTCTTCGGTAAAATGTTAAGTGAAAAAAAGCAATTGCAGAGCAGTATATATAGTATACAAACTTTATAAAATATTCTTTTTTTTTTTTGAGGAAGATTAGCCCTGAGCTAACTGCTGCCAATCCTCCTCTTTTTGCTGAGGAAGACTAGCCCTGAGCTAACATCCGTGCCCATCTTCCTCTACTCTATACATGGGACGCCTGCCACAGCATGGCATGCCAAGCGGTGCCATGTCCGCACCAGGGATCTGAACCCGCGAACCCCAGTCCACCAAACCGGAACGTGCGCGCTTAACCGCTGTGCCACCGGGCTGGCCCCTGTAAAATATCCTTTATATATACATATAAAATATCTCACTTTTAGAAAAAAGTATGCATAAAAAAGCTTGGCAAAATATATCCTAAATCATTAATGGTAGACATCCCTGGAGGAATTGAAACTAGCAGAGACTTTTCCTTTATAAATTTCTATATTTCTTGAATGTTTTAAAAAGAGCTTGTGAATTATTTACACTTTTGCTCTAAGCATCTATCTATATTTTTGAACGACTTTGCAAGTATTTTCATTGTGTAAATCCTAGAAATTAAATTGCTAAGTCAAAGTGGGTACATATCTAAAATTTTGAAAGACACTGGCAAATTTTCCTCCAGAAAGAATGTGCTCATTTTACTCTTAGCAGCAATTTGAGACCGTATTTCACCAGCCCTCACCTGCGGTG